GTAGTACACCAGTTGGAGTGGTATCAAAATAAGCAGTTTCATACTTTTCAAATTCCTGAACTCTGAAGATGCGTTTAAAGGGACATCAGTGGAAATAGTGGAGTAAGGACCCCGAAAAATACTTTCTTTCATAAAAATAATGAGAATACTGGCAAATATGGACAGAATAAATTTTTTCAGAACTCCAGAAATTAACTAAAGGCTTTTGGCAATCTGGGGAATGTTTATTCAAGAAAAAGTAGAATCTTAGAACAGTGAGTTTTGTGGCATTTTATTTTATTTAGTTAATTAGTTTGTTTATTTTTTGGTGAGGAATATTGGCCCTGAGCTAACATCTGTTGCCAATCTTCCTCTTTTTTTTTCTCCCCAAAGCCCCAGTACATAGTTGTATATCCTAGTTGTAAGTCCTTCTATGTGGGATGCCGCCTCAGCATGTCTTGATGAGCAGTGTGTGGGTCTGTGCTCAGGATCTGAACCGGCTAACTCCGGGCTGCTGAAGCAGAGTGTGCAAACTTAACCACTACGCCACTGGGTTGGCCCCCTTTTGTGACATTTTAATTTTCCCTATTCTGATTCTCTCCCTCCCAAGCTTCACAGTAGCCTTGAAAACCAATAGCCCACAATCTCTTGGGGAAAACCAGTAGCCTGGAAGCCTTTGGAGGGGGCATAGTGGGGTTGAATCTCCTTAAAAGCCCATTCCCAGAGAACTGTCATTATTTGAACTGCCTGGTGCCTCCCTGGAAGACCCTATTCACGAGGTTGTCTTTATTTGACCTGTCTCAGTGCTTGACCACTGTAAAGAGCCTTCTCCCCAGGGACATTTGTTAGAAACAATTGGAGGCAATTGTTTAACATCACAATTCTCGAGGTAGTGTCTAACAGCTGGGGCAAAAAATACACTAACCAAAAACCTTAAAAGGAAAAGCTGGGAATGCAATACTCATATGGGGCTTTGAAAGCCTCAGCATATTCCTGGAAATCCAGAAGACCATGTACATGTATAGGGCTGTGTTCATGCTCAAGAAAGATCTGAGAAGGCCCTAAGTTCTCACGTCTGACTGACCTTGAAGCTCTGTGCAAGAGGAGGTGGAGGCTAAAGTGGATGGAAAACTGCTTGGCTGAATGTTGAAGGCATGCCCCAACAGACACACAGAGCCTGTCTTATTTAAAACACAACCCCATAAGGCAGTAATTATAATTCATGATGATTGGTATAAAATATATGAATATGTTATTTCTATGACAATAATAGCACAAAGGAGGGGAGGAGGGAACAGAGCTATATAGAAGCATGGCTTTGTATATAATACTATTGAAATTAAGTTGGAATCACTCTGAATTAGGTTGTTAAATTGTTTGAATTGTAATCACCAGGGCAATGACTAGGAAAGTAACTCAAAAATATAACAGAAGAAATAAAAAGAGAATTAAAATGATATATTAGAAAATATCTACTTAATACAAAACAAGGCAGTTATGGAGAAATAGTGGGACAAAAAAGACATAGGATGTAATAGAAAATAGCAAAGTGGCATATGGAAATCATACCTTAGTAATGACATTAAATGTAAATGAATTAAGCACCCCAATCTAAACACAGAGATTAGAAGAATGGATTGAAAACACATGATCTAACTCTATGCTGTCTACAAGACACACCTTAGATTTAAATACACAAATAAGTTGAAATTAAGGAAATAGAAAAAGATGTGCCATGCCAACAGTAACCAAAGTAGAGCTGAAGAACCTATAACTAATATCAGTCTAACTGTCTAAAAACTATAACTAATATACAGTTTAATAAAATAGACTCTAAGAAAAGTTTTACTAGAGACAAAGAAAGACATATCATAATAATAAAAGGGTCAATACATTAAGAAGATAATTATAAACCTACCTGCACTTAATAACAGAGCTCTAAATATATGAAACAAAAATGGACAGAATTGAAGGCAAAAATAGACAATTCAGCAGTAAGAGTTGGAAATTACGATAATGGATAGAACAACTAAACAAGATCAGCAAGGCAAGAGAAGACTTGCATAACAGTATAAACCAACTAGAACTAACAGACATCTACAGAATGCTCACCCAAGAATAGCAGAATACACAGTCATCTCAAGTACACATGGAAAATGCCCAAGGCTAGACCATATGTAAGGCAATAGAATGAGTTTCAATAGATTTAAAAGGATTGAAATCATGCAAAGTATATTCTTTGACTACAATGGAATGAAATTAGAAATAAGTAACAGAAGGAAATTTGGGAAAGTCACAAATATGTGGAAATTAAACACATTCTTAAGTAACCAGTGGGTCAAAAAGTAAATTACAAGGGATATTAGAAAATGCTTTGAGGTGAATGAAAACAAAAATACAACCTACCAAAACTTATGGGATGCAGATAAAGCAGTGATTAGGGGAAAATTTATAGCTGTAAATGCCTACATTTAAAAAAGAAGAAAGAACTCAAATCAATAACCTAAACTTCCACTTTAAGAAATTGGAGAAAGAAGAGCAAACTGAACCCAAAGCATGCAGAAGGAAGGAAATATTAAAGATTAGAGAGGAAACAGATGAAATAAAGAATATAAAAACAATAGATAAAAATCAACAAAGCCAAAGTTCGTCCTTTGAAATATCAACAAAATTGACAAACCTTTAGCTAGATTGATCAAGGAAAAAAAAGGAAAGAAGACTCAAATTACTAAAATCAGAAATGAAATAGGGGACATGACTAATGACCTTACTGAAATAGAAAGGCTTATAAAGGAATGGACAAAATCCTAGAAACTACTGAAACTATAAGAAACAGAAAATCTGAACAGATCTATAACAAGTAAATACATTGAATTAGTAATTTAAACATGTCCTATAAAGAAAAGTCCAGGGCCAGACGGCTGCTTCATTGGCGAATTCTACCAAACATTTAAAGCAGAATTAACACCAATCTTTCACAAACTCTTCCAAAAAATACAAGAGGAGGGAACACTTCCACAGTTATTCTATGAGGCTAGCATTACCCTGATTCCAAAGCTAGACAAAGACATTACAAGAAAACTACGGTCCAGTATCTCTTATGAATATAGATACAAATATCCTCAACATAATACTAGCAAACTGAATCCAGCAACACTTAAAAGGACTATACACTAAGTGAGATTTATCTCAGAAAGGCAAGAGTGATCCAACATAAGAAAAATCAACAAAAGTAATACACCACATCAATAAATGAAAGAGAAAAAAACCACATGATCATCTCAACTGATGCAGAAAAAGCGTTTGACAAAATTCAACATTATTATTATTTTTTAAATGAACTGATCCATTTCTTTCTTTCTCTTTTGTGAGGAAGATTGGCCCTGAGCTAACATCTATTGCCAATCTTCCTCCTTTTTTTTCTCCCCAAAGTCCCAGTGCATAGTTGTATATCCTAGTTGTAGGTCCTTCTATTTCTTCTATGTGGGACGCCGCCTCAGCATGCCTTGATGAGCAGTGCCACGTCTGCGCCCAGGATCCAAACCTGTGAACCTTGGGCTGCTGAAGCAGAGTGCGTGAACTTAACCACTCAGCCACAGGGCCAGCCCCTCAACATTATTTTATAATAAAAAACATTCAACAAACTAGGAACAGAAAGGAACTTAACCTGATAAAGGGCACCCCTGAAAAACCCACAGCTAATATCATACTTAATGATGAAACACTGAAACTTTCCCCCTTAAGATCAAGAACAAGACAAGGTTGTCCACTCACCACTTCTATTTAATACTTTCCTGGAGGTTCTAGCCAGGGGATTAGACAATAAAAAGAAACAAAAGGCATGCAAATGGAAAAAGAAGAAATAGACGATCTCTATTTGCGGATGACATAA